GTGTATCGGCGCAGCACCCCGTCTCGTGTAGTATCACAACAACCTGTCCGGGCGAGGAAGCAGCCCAGGCCGGAGGTGGCTCGAACTAAATTATGGTTATGGGTACCGGCGCTGTAACAACAAACGGTGGAGGAGGTATCATGGGATCCGGGGTATTAGCGTAACAAAAACGAAGGTATGTGGATATTTACAGCATCCCAAGTAGTCTAAAATTACATTACATTGCATGCATGCTTCAGACCTATGTGGTAAAAGAAAGGGATGAGCAATGAGCATTGAGCATTGAACCTCCCTTCCTGTTGCCTCATAAGTCCAGCTATAGCACGATAGCTGCCGTCTAAAAACGTTTAATGAGAGGAAGCACCCCACACAGGCAGCTCCTGGCGGGGTGTTCTGCTTTATCCGGGCACCCAGCGGGTGCACAGTTTTCTCTCGGCAGGGTGCCTGGCCGCCGCCCCGGGAGATCTTCAGACCGATCTGGTTCGTGGCCAGGAGTCGGTCGGATGGCCTGGCCATGGTCCGCGTCAGGTCCACAGTAAACACCGGTCCGACCGACCGACGGGTGACGGCTGGGTCTAGTCTTGAACCGCACCATACCGAACCAAACGAGAGGCAGACAGGTCCGTCCTCGCACATTCCGCACCTGTTTCCGCGTCGAAACAGGCCGTTTGGCCTCAGTTTGGAGATGACATTTGACGTAATCCGGGCATTAAATGCGACAGTGGGGCTTTTTAGGATCATCTCATTTGCCCTTGAAAGCCAGACGACACAAAGCTGACATGACAAAAGCGGATATGAGGCCATCTCCGTCAGTGGCGGTCGCAGGGGGGGGGGGGGGGCCATCAGGGCCATGGCCCCCCCCAAAGGCAAATCAGGGGGGGCCATCATATCATTTGGCCCCCCCCCCCCCCAAACAACCGATGGGCCCCCATGGCCGTATGGGGCCCTGGCCGGTATTCGATTGTCACGAGGCTCGAGAAACCCACGCCAGCTATTAACAGCTCCCATACCAGTCTTTGAGGGTCCTACACTGACCTCTGAGGGCCCTTCAGTGGCGGTCAAGCGTCCACATTGACCGCTGAGGACCCGTATTGACCTCTGAGGGCCCTCCACTGGCCTTTGAGGGCCCCTAAACCGGCCTCAGGGGCCCAACCGGCGTCTGAGAGCCTCACACCGGCCTCTGGTGGCCTCATTTCTGTCTCTCGAGTCCCAAGACTAGCCTTTAAGTGTCTCTGAGGGCCCCGCACTGGATTCTGAAGACCCGATGTCGAGCCAGCATCGGCCTCTGGGGGCCCATCTTGGCCTTTGAGGGCCCTCCGCGGGTCTCTGGGGTCCAACGCCGGCCCATACCGGCCTTTTAGGGCCCCACACTGACCTCTAAGGGCCCATGCTGGCCTGTAAGGACCCACATTAGCCTCTAAGGGCCCCCCGCACTGGATTCTGATGACCCAATGCCGGCCGCTCAGGGCCCGCATCGGCGTCTGAGGGCCCATCTTGGCCTTTGAGGGCCCTCCGCTGGCCTCTGGGGTCCAACGCCGGCCCATGCCGGTCTTTTAGGGCCCCACACTGACCTCTGAGGGCCCATGCTGGCCTGTAAGGTTACACATTAGCCTCTATGGGCCCCACACTGGATTCTGAAGACACGATGCCGGCCTCTAAGGGTCCGCATCGGCCTCTGAAGGCCCATCTTGGCCTTTGAGTGCCCTCTGCAGGCCTCTGGGGTCCAACGCCGGCCAATGCCAGTCTTTTAGGGTCCCATTCTTATCTTTGAGGGCCCCATGCTGGCCTGTAAGGATACACATTAGCCTCTATGGGCCCACACTGGATTCTGAAGACCCGATGCCGGCCTCTAAGGGTCAGCATCGGCTTCTGCGGGCCCATCTTGGCCTTTGAGGGCCTTCTGTTGGCCTCTGGGGTCCAACGCCGGCCCATGCCGGTTTTTAGGGCCCCACACTGACCTCTGAGGGCCCGTGCTGGCCTGTAAGGACCCACCTTAGCCTCTGAGGGCCCCGCACGGGCTTCTGAAGACCTGATGCCGGCCTCTAAGGGCCCGCATCGGCTTAGTCTGATGGCCCATCTTGGCCTTTGAGGGCCCTCTTCTGGCCTCTGGGGTCCAACGCCGGCCCATGTCGGTCTTTTAGGGCCCCACCCTAACCTCTGAGGGCTCCATGCTGGCCTGTAAGGACCTATATTAGCCTCTGAGTGCCCAATTCGGTCTCTGATGGTCTCAAACTGCCCTTTGCAGGCCCTGTACTGGTCTCTGAGAGCTCTAAACTGGCCCCTAAGAGCCCAAACCAGCCTCTAAAGGTCCCACGACCCACACCGGCCTCTGATGGTCCCATTTCTGTCTCTGGGACCGAAACTGCCCTTATGTGCCTCTGAGGGCCCCGTACTGGCTTCTGAAGGATCGATGCCGGCTTCTGAGGACCCATACCGGTCTTTAAGTGCCTCATAGCGACACCTGAGGCCCCACACTAGCCTCTGAGGGGCCCGCAAACTGGCCTATGAGGTCTCTACACCGGCCACTGATGGCCCTATTATGTTCTCTGGGGGGCTCAAGCCTTACCTTTGGGCGTCACGCACTTGCTTATGAAGGCCCACATCAGCCTCTGGGGCCCTACCTGGGGCCTTTGAGGCCCTTCGCTGACCCTTGGGTCCAACGCCGGCCTCTGGGGGTCTGACACCGTACTCTAAGGGCCCCATTGCAGCCTCTAGGCGATAGGTATCGCCGAAGCGCTATCGATGGGCCCATAAGTGTAGGAACCATGGGTGCAGTGGGCGCAGTTGCACCAACAATAATTCTGCAGTGAGTGCAGACAATGTATTCTGCATCCACAATAATCTGGAACAAAACCCCCTTTCCTCAGCAACACTACTTTCCATGCAGCACGACAAATTTAGGATATTTTGCCCACTATCGGTCTTTCGAAGCATTTGCTACTGTAATGGTCTTCAAAAGTTGCATTTGTGCTCAAGTGAAAAAAAAAGATTAAACGGAAGTCGGAACACATGTGTGAACAGATACCGATGAGCCACTGATAAAAGTTTTAGCACGATGATCTTAAAAAAAGGCAAAGTTTTTTTTGCAAAGAAAATTACAAGGTTAGCCGGCTTTACTTTTACGGTAGTCCATTCACAGTTGCGTGAATTATTGGCATAATCAATGCTTCAAAATGCGCTTTTCGGTACCTTTTCGACATGGTGCACCCTCAAAGCTCTCAATGAGCTTCCGCTCGGGTGCCGCTCCCTACCCCCCCCCCCCCGCTTCACCGGCCATGGCCTAGGTTTCTGCACCCGTGCACTACGCCCGTGGGCCCCTTTAAGCTAGCACCGGGCCCCCCGGGTCAGCGCAGGGGCCCCTTTGCCAAGTTGCCCCCCCCCCCAAACTCCAAGTCTGCGACCGCCCCTGATCTCCGTAGAGACATGCATTCCTGTTGGCAGTTAACAGGGCCATTCGTTTCAAGCAATTTTCCAGCTTAAAAATTCCAACATAAAAATGTTGAGCTCAGCGAGCGGATTAGAAAAACATCATCATTTGGAGATAGAAATCAAGCAAATGTAAGAAGTAAGAACAATACCCGGGCCGTGGGCGTATACCTTTCCATGTGTAGTGTCACAATCCATCCGTTTGGTTGAATTTCACCAAAAGGCATGTCCGTCCCGGGCCTCAAGTTTCCGTCAATGACGTGAAAACGAAACCGTGAGAGCATGGCGTCCAATTCCGACCAACTGATGGGCAGCTAGAAAGGTAGCCCGTGAGTGGAGAAGCCGCAACAAACCCCGTCATTTACGGCTGCACGCGCGCTATACCACACGGTGTGGTGGCCTCCCACATGGGTTCCACTGCCGCACAGCGTGTGCACTGTGCATTGTGCAACTTCTAGTATTGTTGGTAAGAAGGCACAAATACTGGTAAACAGCATGAAAAAATGGTAGCATCAGCATGATATACATTGGCTCTGAGAGGGATACTGGATAACTGCCATCGTGTCCATACCATAAATACTGAAGACTCGAAGAGAGCCAGCCCTGACTCGTATGCAAGATCTCTATGCCCGGACTGACCACCCGACCTCCAGATAAATACAGCAGCGGCAGCGAACTTCGTGGCAGCTTACCATGACCCCGTAGCTCGCAAGTTGCAAATGCAGCGTACCCTGTCTCATTAACTGCGCGATAGAACAGCTAAAACGGTTATAAATGTTTGCTTCAGTTCCCGGCCGCTAATACGAAAGCCGGACGTTCTGGCAGTTGATAAAATCTGTGTGCAAATGTCACTTCATCGTGTGGAGACGTGTCATGACAACATGTGATGTCATGCAGAACTGAGGGCTTTAGTTTTGACACAATGCAAGCAATCCGTGCACATTTTAACAAATGGTCGGACGGACGAAATATTCACTCGGAAATCGATAAGTGCTTTTAGCCAGCCCCCATTCTGACCGCCCGTCTAGAAAACTGATGGGCATTCATTTTTTAGGATGTCGGAGTCGGTATTTTTTATGTTCCATCCGACCTCTTTGGTCTAGGACAGACTACACTACACATGGGCATTGGAAGTCTGCATGGACGCTACATGGACCTCTACATGGACGTCGACGAGAACGTCTAAAGAATGCTCTAAATAAATTGTAATATTTACAAGCGGAACATCATAAAGCAAGGACGGACTGTCGTATTTTTACCAGGCGGTCAGGTGACGGTGTGAGGAAAAATGTTTAAAACCGAAATGCAATTATGTTCGTTCAATCAGAAAGACGGTCCATAAACAGACCTAATTAATTAGAAAGAAGTGCATCACATGCCTGCCCTACATCTTATAAATGATGCCGATAGCGCTAAGGCTAAGGGAAACTACTTGGACCTTATCGCATTGCACAGAGCAACTGAGACCGTTCCGGAAATCTGAAAAAAATCATATAACACCATTACCAACAATTTATCAAAATGCAACATGCAACGTGAAAGAACACACACATTGACATACTCATCCCCCTTACCTCTCAGACGACTACTCGACTCCTCTGTTTCAGATCTCCACGCGCAGAGGACTGCTCCTCTCCTCTCCCCAGTCGCTCTCCTGGCGGCTCAATCGCCGGCCCTCGGCCTCTCGACCAGCCACAGCACAACCCACGGACAACGATGACGGAACACTGAGTTCGCGGCCTCGCGGTTGCTCGCGCCGCAGCGCCGGCGATAGCACTGCCATCTACCGTCAGAATGGAGCACTAGAGCCGGGACATTCGCGGAGCCGTCAGTGGCTAAACGGGGCGCCCCATCTTCTGCAATCGTCATAACTGGGAAATTGACTGAGACGATAGCTTCAAATACACGGTTTAGTTCCAGTTAAAAGTGCGATCAGCTCCCCTGAAAATGCCCTAACTTGTTAGTCGTTAGTTCGATGGCGGAAAAGAACAATTTGCCATCGATATTTGCAATCGATATTTATAGTCACCGTGCAGTTTGCTATAACTCCGAATGGAAACACCGATGGCAAAAAAATCATTGCCTTATAGCTGGCTCGCAATTAGGTATTCTTCCTCTCTATATCCTCCAAGCCACATAATTTCATCTTTGTTCACATTTCCTGCTCCAGACTGACGGCTGTCGCAGTTCGCTCTACGCAGTCGATCGACACTCGATGGCAGATCGCAAAGTGAAATGGGGGCAATGACATATTGCTATGTATATAAGCGCAGACCGCTGTGTGGCCTGTGCGACAAACATAAATGTGTCTCACCGTGACACGTTTGTCTCAAATAGACGGCCGTGAACCTGTAGTCCGGCTCATGAAGCATTGAAGACTGAAGAGAATATGCTGTCGTTGAATCGATTAGCACTTGATTCATCATTATAATTGGAAAATGACTTTCTGAGACTGATCCAAAGCACATGCCTGAATCAACGCGACAGCGCTAGTTCACATGAAGATAATTGTTTTATTGGGATTTTTCCTAGAACCAACAGTCCCGTGAGAGTTTCACTGACAATCGCTCTATCATGTCGGGACCATCCTTCCAGTAATAATTCGAAGGCTATTGAAGTGCCGTTATACGGCTGTGATGTGTGACGTCTAATGATCTTTTGAAATGATCCTCGAAATATGATTATTATTTCCATCCGAGTGTCAGCCGAACTATTGGAACGTGACTGACTGGCCGAGATGGGATCAAATTTCACACCCAGTGGAGCGGACCAGCATCAAAGGCGTCTACATATATGACTCGACACTGACATCGCCAAAGTGAACGGTGAGGAAAGGGACCAGCATGAGAGGGGCCTTTCACTATATGCGGCATTTTGGCGTGTGATGATTCACAGACATTCGTAGTGGTCACGATCTGCTCTCCCGCAGAGCATAAATGACCTATGCGATATGTTTAAAATAAGATAAAATGACTCGCGTAGCGCCGAGTCATGAAAAAGTTAGAATCATGGCTCATGAAGGCTCTTCATGGGCTTTCATGGACCAATTCTTGCATTGGGTGTGCGAGGCACAACCAAACGTGCTGTCTTAAAATCCAATATTACTCAACACAGAATATAAACATTTGCATATGGGACGTAGAATATTACAGAAGCTCATTTCCACTTTGAATAATGGCACTTGCTTCTTGAAGCTTGAAGCGCCGACAGCTTTAAGAGCAGGGCAGACATTTTACATTGTTGTTGTAGCAGTCACCTGGCTTACGCCGGCATAGGCGCGGGAGCCGGGGGGGCAGTGGGGGCAGCTTGCCCCCCCCCCAACTCTGGGGCCGTGGGGGCGGTGCCCCCACAGCTTTGAGACGGAATACCACACTTTTTGCAAATGTTTTCTTTTTTTGTTGAAAAAGCCGAGTGGGTGAAAAATAAGTGGCCTAAAACCGGTGAGAAAACTAGATTTGGGGGGTACCCTAGGTTGATCTCTATTATGGTGTGCCCCCCCCCCCCCCCAGTCGGAAAGTAGTTCCCGCGCCCCTGTACGCCGGCTTTCAAGTTTCGAAACCCCTTCAACGACAACCGCTTGCGTAAGTTTGAGCACATGCAGTACCGCCCTCGGAGTGCAGGCCAAGCCCGTACCTTGAAAGGACAACAAAGGACCATTCGTCTTACGAATGCTGCACTGCGGAACTAAAAAACCTACCGGACGCCACTTGGCGCCAGCTCCCGTCACGACTCGAGTAACTGCACCCGTCGATCCGTGCAGCGTCACACGCCGTGACCGTGCGCGCCGCGTCACGAGCGTCACGGGAGCGCGTCACGGAGGTAGGTTACAGTGTTACGGGGCGTCACGAGGGCACGCGTCACGGCCGGTGAGGTGACGGGGATGTGCAGAGAGACAGGAGTTGGCTACCTCCCAGCTCGGTGGTGGTGTAAGTCGCCACCGGGCGCGGCGAGTCACCGCTGTGTGCCCCGCGGCGGGTTTGATACCCCCGCTGAGATTTGGCAGCGGGATGTGTCTGACTCTTCCGCGCTGGGAGAGGGTGACTATTGACTAATGAGTGGGACGATCGAAAACGGAAATATGACCCGTGATGGATCTCGATGTCATTCAGGGGTAATCATTGGCTTGGGAGCGTGACAGTTGTAAAAAGACGTCGCACACTGCGTAGTTGATGTCTGATGAATGATGTTTGCAAAGCGGAATAATTCTCTCACTGAACTGGAGGTTAATATATTTTTGTAGCAGATGGTGCAATTAGTATCGGGCAGAAGTCAAATGAAAAACTATGAAATCCAATTCAACATGCATTTGCGAACCATGTGAGATTACCTACTACAAACACAGGTATGAATAAACAGTGGTTAGAAATTGTGCCTCCGTTCTTCGATTTTCATCCATAAAAGGTGAGAAGGTGTGGTTGAGCTATACTAATTAGACGACAATTGACAGTGAACAGACTACATTACATTACACGGCATCAGCACATTCACTGCATCTTCACCGCACAGTTTGCTGATTTAAGTCTCTGTGGATGTCACCAAAACGGCACAGGCCGCTAGCTGTAAACCTGGTGTGGAGGTGGACTCTAGTTATCGGCCCCAACACTGCTGTAGAGGTCACCTGAGCCGGGAGACCGCTTCTGTGGACTCTACCCCTCTATCCATGTCACTGAGGGGTCACCTGACCGGACAGGTCACCCTTATGGACCCTGTCGTGGACTCTACCCCTCTGTTATGTCCTTCCTGGCCGTTTTGTGTGATCAGCTGCCGGTAAGTCTCGAATGACCGACTGTACGACGCCCCGTACCGCGACGGCCGGGGAGACGCCCATCTCCGTCCCCACATCCGGGCGGGGGGGGGGGGGCACATCCGGCGGTGTCTGAGGCTACCCCGTTCACCTGCTCTTTCAGCCCCTCTGCACCCTCGCTGGACTGACTGATCTGGGACGGATGCAGGATGTTTTGATGGAGAGGGGCACAGGAGGAAGCGTGGGAACGATTCGAGATCGCATCTGATCCTAATTCCGCCACTCCCGGAGGTTTAAATACCAAAACGCTATGCTGGCTCCTCGGAAAAGGGCCAGGGTTGTGTTTTTAACAATGGAGGCTACCTTAATTGCCTTTTGCGAGTTCTCCACGTTTGTGCTCAGTCCATTACCACGCATGGCATTCCGCTCCCTCTCGGATTTTCCCGACCCCTCCCCCACCCGTCACACCCCTCCCTAATCGTCCCCTCCTACCCCAGCGCCCCTAAACGCCCGTGGTCCGGAATACCAGCTCTCGGGTCCAGGTGCAGGAACGTATTTGCCGCCGCTCTGATCACGTGCACGCATTCCTACACGGCAGCCCGACCATCCGGCTCGGATCAGGGGAGCTGGTAGCAGGACAGGATCGGGGACCCGCTCCCCCGGCTAGCATGCCTTTGTGAACGCTGGGAAACCCACTGCGCGCAGGCACGCGTCTATCAAGGGACTGGACGGGCATGTAGAGGACGCATTGGTGTCATGGCGTTTTTACGTGGACTCATTGGAGCGCAACGCCAGCCTTTGCCGATGAAAGTCTGTGGCATGGAATGGCAAGTGACCGGCAAACGATAACTTAACCCTCGCACCGACAGGGGGGCGGATATCCCCCCCTGTGGTTTTTCGCGAATAGCGGGAAAACCGCGGCGCGTAGCGCCGCGAAATTTGGCATGACTATAACCTCATCAATTTTACACATGGTGTGCAAGTTTGAACCTCCTAACTTTTAAGGTCAGGTCACCAGGTCACTTTGAATGACCCAACCTCAAGTCACTTTTTTGCAACTTTGTCACCGTGCCAGAGCTACAGTAGATGTCGGAGGCCTTTGAAAGTCGCAGGATATTATTAGGTCATTAGTAGCTACAATTTGTATATCTCGGAATTTTGATATCGGTGACCTAAGGTCAGGTCAATTTCGCGACCTTCCCATTACAAGTCAATGGGGGAAAAATCAACTCCCTGTTTTTACCACTAAAACGGGTCGGAATGGCCCCATATACCATACATGACTTCATATACGATCAACCTTCACTACCTTGAGGTCTGTTTTGCTGTTGGGCAGCTGTGAGGTCATGTGACGTCATCAAAGGTCACCAAAGGTTTTTGGCCAATAACTCCGTACAGGAACAAGATACAGACGCGTGGATGGTCTCATTGTGTTCAGCTCGTCAAGACGCATCGAATGATATACATGATGACCTCGAGGTCACGTGACCTGAGGTCAACCTTTGACCTTGACCTTTCGAGGTCAACATATATATCATTCGATGCGGATTGACGAGAGGATCACGATGATGCCCTTAGTTTGTTCCTATCTTGACTAATTCGAAAGTTATTCGAGAAAAACTCTCTCCATATCTAGCGCCGCCATTTTGACTTTTTCGACCCCTGTGACGTCATCTTTGACCTGACCTGAAAATGACCTTTGTAAAAATTGTAGATCTTGGCCGTGCGTATCCGATGCCGTTTACCGCTTGTCGCTATCTTGCTTCGTTCTCGAGATCTCAGGGGGGGCGGTCATCCGCCCCCCCCCCCCCGTCGGTGCGAAGTTGGCGCAGACCCCCGTCGGTGCGCGGGTTAAGTGATAAATTATCTAGCCTATACCTCTGTTTATGACATTGACATCCAGCGTTCCATTCTACACAGATCCATTTTCATTCCCATGGGCATGAGCTCGAGCAAAGCAGCACATTAGGTTCCCAAACCTGCGCACTGCGCAGACCCCACCTACTAGCTTCCTGGAAAAGTCGCACGCCATGCTACCCAAGCCAGGCCGGTCCCCACCCAATGTTATGCGGAAAATTCCCACGCTCTAGTGACTGTCGCAGATAAAAAGGAATTCAGACAAGGCAGCTGGTGGTAGTGCAGTGTTGACTACGCCAGTCAGTAGATATTTCCTCTGTTTTCCTCCACCTGGATACAGCAGATATCATGTTTCGGCCTTTATTGAAATTGCCCACAAGGTGATATCATCATTCATTGA